GGAGCACTTTCCCTATGAGGAAAGGCTGAAAGTCTGGGACTTTTCAGTTTAGAAATGAGACGACGTGTGTGTGTGTGTGACATGATACAGGTTTATAAAATTATGCATGAGGTGATTTGACAAAGATAAATTTTTCTCCCTCTCCCATAATACTAGAACTCAAGGGCATCCAATGAAGCTGATGGGCAAGTAGGTTCACGATGGACAAAAGGAAATACTACTTTACACAGAGAGTGATTAAAATGTGGAATTCGCTGCCAGAGGATGTAGCGATGGCCACTGGAATAAACAGCCTTAGAAGGGGATTTGATTGCCTTGACTTGGATAGCTGGATCATGTCAGATCTCGGAAACTAAGCTGGGTTGACTGTGGTTAGTACTTGGATGGGAGACTTCCTTGGAATACCAAGTTGGGAGGACAGAGGCAGATTTTATTCAGTCAACTCTCTGAATATCCCCCAGGCCCCCAGTAGGGGTCAGTCACCAGAGGTCAACATGACACACACAAGATACCAAAAAATAAAAATAAATAAATAAAAGGAGATTAGATAGATTCATGGAGGATAAGTCTATCAGTGGCTACTAGCCATGGTGACTGAAGGGAACCTCCGCATTCAGAGGCACTAAGCCTCTGAATCCCAGAGCCAGGAGGCAACATCAGGGGAAGGCCTTGGCCTCTATGCCCTGTTGTTGTCCATCCAGAGGAATTGGTTGACCACTGTGTGGGACAGGAAGCTGGACTACATGGACCACTGGTCTGATCCAGCAGGGCTCTTCTTATCTTCTTACTTGGCAAATAAATTATACCCCCCCAGCCCAATTCAAAAGATACGTTGATGCAAAAAGATAGGACGTGACATTTTAGTAGAGGGTAAATGACTCCTAATACTGCAGTTCTACAGGGCATTATGGGTTCTTTCTTTCGAACACATGACATAACTAGGTATAAATAACTTATTAAAGGGGCTGGAATAATGGTTTGACAAGAAATGCACTTTTTGGAGAACCTAGCATAATAGTGTGTCTAAATTCCCCTGGGAATAAATTTTATATAGTTACCCAAATATGCAGTGATGGCTGCTGTTAATGTGATTGTTATCACCCAGTGGAAGTAAACAATTCATTGGTGGCTAAATATACAGTCTTGTAGCTTCTGCTGCTGCTCAGCATCTTCTGCCAGAGCTGCAAGAGAGTGGTGAAATACTGGAGCAACCCTAGGTTGACTGTTTAAGTGGAGTAATAAGAACTTAAATTTTTCCAGAACCAACATGAGGCTGCAGATGTACAGCACTCTGTAGTATACACTAATCTCCTGCTGCCTTGCCACCACATTAACTTCAGTGGATATACATGACAGCCCAACATTTTACACTGTACAGTTCTGCTTACATATGTAATACTCTCATCTCCATAAAAATATTAAAATCCTTCCTGATAACGTGCTATGATACAACCATTAATTCATGCTTCAGTGGCACTGGAGCACCTTGGAATTATGCATCACATCCAGAGCAGCACTTAAAGGCTGCTGCATGAATAATGCTGTTGCAAACAATCAGCCTGTAAACAGAGAGCAATTTGAATGGCTTATAAATTGGACTGTGATACTCTAATGTTGTTGCAAGCCCAGAAACACTTTGTGCCTGCCTCTTAATTGCCACAGTAGCCAAAGCTACATTAATGCCCTTTCATTAATCTACCTGCATATCAGCACACTCTCTTATGTCAGTTTTGATGGATGTGCTGCTCATAAAAGTGAGGAATGGAGAGTCCTGCCTGGAGCAAGTTTTCTCATCTTCTTTTTCCCCATTCCCCAAACAACATGTGGACAGCAATTTATTTCCCTCTTTCCACTTCCTACACGTGATTGCATTGATGACCTTCCCTTTCACCCCAATTCAGGATTGCATAACACCTACTAAATAAGATCATTAGTTGAATCTTGTGATATTTGAAAGACATTGTGTTTTAGCATGTTAGCAGATGTAGGCAAGAAGGACACACCCTTTTGTTGGCATGGTACTTAATAGATAGGCATTTCACAGTCCTGTTTGAAATTAGTTTGTTGTAGTTTAAAACCCTTAAGGTAAGCGTTTTCCCCAAACAGCTATAACTTGCATAAAATAGGTAATACCTTTTTTCCTTTTGAAATATGCTGGTTTGGGTAACTTAACCTTAGTTTGTAGCTGCAAAACTAGAATACTTTAAAAACATAGATTTATGGTCACATAGTTTTTTATGGATGTGAACCCGATTTGTCAGAGATGTGTTATCGTCTTCTGGCAGATGTATACCATTTTCAATTAAAAAAAACACAGTTCACCATCTTCTCTTTATAATTATTCAGAAAACAGTTTGTGAACATTAAAAAACCAGCAAACAAATGTTAATATTTTTAAAACAGAGTGAGACAGCATGACACAGTAAATCTCATTAATTATCAAAACCATGCTGAGACAAAAAGGTTTTACTTGCCTTCACAAAGAGACTGAGGCAGAGATGCAACAAAATTCCCAAGGAGTGATTGTGGTGGACCAATTTTTTATGAACATATGAAGCTATCTTAAGAGATTTCCTAAGAAAAATTTAGAACTACATGTGGGTGATGAATTTTGGAGCTGGTAGCACTGTGGTGGACTTTCATGAATATTTAGCATATGCTTCTGGGTGAGTTTTGCAAATTGTGTGGTAGTGACTTATCTGATGTGGTGGTTGCTGTCAGGCCTGGCCCTGATGATTCCTCCATCTAGTGCAAGGGGGAGGGGAGCAGCAGTGGCCTGTGAGGCCAAAACAACCCTGGAAAGGGTCAGGCCCCTCCCCCTGCCTTTTACTGACTGAAAGCAAGGTTTGAAGGCTGGCGCTATTTTTGTGGTTGCTTAGTAACCCGCACAATAGCCATTGAGAACTCAGAGAGCATCTGTTTCTTAAAGCTATAGGTGCTACTTCTATCATTTTGAAGGTTAAGTCCCCAATGTATTTTTTCAGGTTTTTCTGCACACCTGGGTCTTTGTTTGTTCATGATCCCAGGCTCCAGAGTTAAGTATCCACAGATGGAGACATGTTGAGAATCTATTAAAATGATCCACCTCTGGAGCTAGATGGATCCGAATGGCTTTCTGAGAGCTCTAGGAAATTTACCTATTGATATGGCTGGTGCTTCTGTCAATGCCCTGGCTGAACTCTGGAATAAGGAATTTACCCTGGTAATTGACAAAAAGGGTTTCAACTACCTGTAACTGTTGTTCATTGAGTGGTCTTTTGTGCGGGCACACATTGGACCATGCATGCACAGGCCAGCTGTGGAGACAAAGATTCTGAAGCTTTCTAGTGCTTTCTAGATATATTGATGTCTAGTGCTTTCTAGATATATAGATATTGGTGAAACTACAGTAACTGTTGTCATGGATGGGTCACTCTATTTCATGGCCTTTTGGCCCTACTGTCTGCATTTTTTTCTGTGTCTGCATTCACACTTGTTTCTGTCTATATTTAGTCTTCCAAGGGAGGATTCCACTTCATGCATCTGATCAAGTGAAGTTGGTCCTGTCCATAAAATTTATGCTACAATAAATCTGTTCTTTAAAGTGCCTCAAGATGGTCTGCTTTTTGATTTTGCTCTTTTAATTAAACAAGTTGAGTTGTGCTTTGTCTAGCATGTGCCAGGGGTTGAATGTTGCACCAGACAATCTGTTGGTTATTTCAGTCAGTGATCTTCCAATTTATTTTGATTTCTTTAAACAAATATAAAAGACTACTGTGTTGCCACCTCCCATTTTCCCCTTCCATTTTCAAGTAGTGAACCCCTTGCTCCTCTTTTCTCCCTATTATTCATGCATATGCATTCAAACAGTGCACTCCTAACCAAAGTTACAATCTTATAAACTAGAGTTGCCAACCTGCAGGTGGTGGCTGGAGATCTCCCACTATTACAACTGATCTCCAGGCAACAGGGATCAGTTCATCTGGAGAAAATGTCAGCTTTGGAAGGTGGGCTCTATGGCATTATATTCCACAGAAGTCCCTCCCCACCCCAAACTCTGCCCTCTTCAGACTCCATCCCCAAAACTTCCAGGGTTCCTAACCTGCAGCTGGCAACTCTGTTCTAAGCCCATTGACTGCAGTGTATTTTGAAGGGCGTAACTCTCCTTAGGACAGCACCGAAAAACAATGCCCATCTCTTGAAAAGTGACTCCTATAAAGGCAGCTCCCTTTGTTGCAATATAATTTCTGTCTATCCTTCCTTGTTTGCCAAATAAACAGCAATTTGTAATTCTAAGTGAGGAGAATATTTTCCTGATTCAGAAGTATCGTTTCCTATGAAAACCATCTGCAATTTTGGGTTACAGCTCCTTCCTTTTGTTTAAGAAATAAATATCATATAATTTCAAAAGAATGATTGAATCATCAACTAGATTTCAGTAATTTGTATTGGAACATTTGGTAATTTAATTTAATTCTGGCTCACAGTTCTGGTTTGAAAAGATATCTTGCCAGCTCTGCATTCAAAAGAGTGTTTCTCAGGAAACTGCCAAATTTTAAAGAGGCTTTGCCAATTGAGGGGTTAAAACAGGTCAAGCTACCAGAAGAGCAGAAGGGTGTTGATTTTAATGATCACTGCACAGAATCTTGAGGGCATGAGATGATTCAGAGCTACATCAAGACACTGATTATCATATGAGTGCAAAACATACTTGTGTGTGTGTCACTTGGCTGGTCCCGAACAAGTATTTTGTGTATGTGTGAAACTGTGCCAAGAGCTTTGGTTTTATTTTTTGTTGGTTGATTCCATGCTTTTGAGCATTGTTACAGACCCTAGAATTAGAGATGTCTCTCACATTTGCAGAACTTGTAAAGTAGAACACACTGATTTTCCAAGTCTGTGTATCCTGCCAGTTTGCAGTGATTAATGACTCCATGGCTTAAAGTGTTTTTCCTGTGTTTCTTTATCTCCATCCTTTTTAATTGCTTGATTCCCCCCCCTTTCTTATTTGTTCCATACAGTGGGAAGAAGTCAGTGGCTATGATGAGAACCTCAACACAATCCGTACTTACCAGGTGTGCAATGTTTTTGAGCCCAACCAGAACAACTGGCTTCTCACCACTTTTATAAACCGACGGGGTGCACACCGCATTTACATAGAGATGCGCTTCACTGTGCGGGACTGTAGCAGCCTTCCCAATGTCCCTGGCTCTTGTAAGGAAACATTCAACCTGTACTATTATGAAACAGACTCTGTCATTGCCACCAAGAAGTCGGCCTTCTGGACAGAGGCCCCCTACCTCAAAGTGGACACTATTGCTGCAGATGAGAGTTTCTCTCAGGTGGACTTTGGTGGTAGACTGATGAAAGTGAACACAGAGGTGAGGAGCTTTGGACCTCTCAATCGCAATGGCTTTTACCTCGCCTTTCAGGATTATGGGGCATGCATGTCACTGCTGTCAGTAAGGGTTTTCTTTAAAAAATGCCCTAGTGTGGTGCAAAATTTTGCCATCTTCCCAGAGACTATGACAGGAGCAGAAAGCACCTCTCTGGTGATTGCACGAGGTACATGCATTCCCAATGCTGAGGAGGTGGATGTGCCAATTAAATTGTACTGCAATGGAGATGGGGAATGGATGGTTCCCATTGGCCGCTGTACCTGCAAGGCTGGATATGAGCCTGAGAACAACATGGTCTGCAAAGGTAAGATAATAATTTGCTCAAATGTTGTTTGGTGGTGACTGCCCTTTTTCACCCAAAGGACCGTTCAGAATTCCTCAGTATGGAACTGGACCAAGGTTGTTGTTTAAGGGCTGCCTTTAAACCAGTTTCTGCCAGTAACAAGTTTAGAATGCTGAACAATCATTAACACAAACACGGCCACTTTATGGATTATTTGGGGACCTACAAGTTTACATGTTCATCTCTGACAGCTGGAGCTCCAGCTTGTGACCTTGATATCTGTTCCTGTTGTGACAAGGATTGCTAAGACCTGGCTTCTAGTTGTATGTGCCTCACCCCCAAATCAGGCAGCCAATTGGGATCTTCCTTAACAAATGAATACAGAGAATAGATGAAGTATTCTGAGCAGTGACTATGATTTTCTTATGCTTGCTCTATGCTTGAATCCACTAAATGTATTTTGCCTGAGATTATGACTTCAGTGTAACAGTGCTAAAGCAGAAAATCCCATTTGTTATATCGTTATCCCATGGTGAAGTTTCTGATAAGGCCATCAATAGCTTCAGCAAATTGTAATTCTTTTGCCTGCATTCATGGATGATTCATGACTTATTGTGAAGCATCTGTAGTGAACACACAATTGTGATTGGTCAGTACAGTAGGTCATGTTTGCAGAATGGTTGTAGCTTAATTTATACTTCTTTTTCATTTTTGCTTGAGAAATAATTTGGAGGACCCACTTTATTAGCATCATATTTGTGAAAGAGCTTTTGGGGAAGAGAATGGAAGCATTACTGTATTTGTATGTACCAATACTTTCTGGATCTATAGGGCTCGAACATGGTCCTTGGCCGGACCTATCCAGGGCTGAAATCACTCAGTCACCATTTTGCTATGTTTCATGAACCTCACAAGGTCAGACTTAGAATGACCCATATTGGACTGATCCACTGACACTGTTGTGGCATATGAACATCCTGTTTTCAGGAAGGCTCTCCTGGCTCTTTGATATGCACAGCAGGATTGTGAAGAACTTGGTTAATCATTCTATAAGTATTCTTATGGTCTTTTGTTTCTTGCTCAGTGAAAATACAAAGAGAGCCCATTTTCCCCTCTCTCTAAATCTGGAGCCCAGATAATAGGCCTGTGGATTGTAGTGAACTTTCCTTGATAAATGGTGTGTACTTTAGATAAACTAAAATCAGTGATGATACATTGCTGTTCTGAATGGAATGGCTTTGCCACGTTGCATGCATTGAACCCTGGATGCTGTTTAGAGAGTTGTCTTCTCCAGACTATATAAGCAACCAAGAAGGATAAATACTAAGTACTAAAAGTAGAAAAAAGTAGATATGCTTTCCTCCATTGGTGGCACTGCCAAGAAACTGCTCTACAGCGTTAGGCAGGCTGTAAAACATGGAATGCACAAGAAAAATTTCAACATCTTAGTAAAATCATGGGACTTGGCTTCTGCAGGTGCAATGCCACCCAATAGGGAGTTCTCATTGAGAAATGAGGTGTAATGTGTATGAGTACAACTATATTTCACAAAGTCATCACTACAGATGCACAGGAACATACAAATAGCAGCACATCCTTGGATGCCCACCCAAGAGAGCATATTCTGAATACTTATCGCAGGGACACTTGAACTAAAACCCTGAGAGAACCGCTTAGTAAATATTTCAAGAAATAGCCAAAGATATGTGGTTTTTTAAATAGAACATACTAAGTAGAAAGCTAATTTACCTTATTTTCTCATTCACAGTTCAAACATCTCTGTAAAGTAAATCCTGAAAATACTGTCTAATGTCCATAAATAAGCTTCGCTTTAAATGTGTTTTTAATGCTATTTAGTTGTTATATATAGGTCCCGGTCACATGCGCGAGATAATGCGCGGGGGAAGCGAGGCTATCTAACCTGGAGGAAATTGACCCGCAGGTGCGCGATCACACAGTTCTTGCTGTTTGACAGCCATACTTTTGATGTATTCCTAAATTTAAATGTAATCTTATCTCTTACATGCCAATAAAGGGTTGTCTGTCTGTCTGTCACACAGTTCTTTGAAGCTGCGGGCATAGCCCGCCACTGCATGATCAGACGCAATTGCGGGTGAGTTGGTTGGGGTTTTTTTGCTGTTTGTTTTCAATTCGCTTAAACGGAGGATCAATTAATCACATCTCCACACTGAGGGCTTCCTACGGCAGTATGCGATGATGCGCATACTGAGAAGGGGGAAAAAACAACGGCATGGAGTTGGGATGGCCTGATCAGACCATGCCAACGCCATGAGAGCGCGCTGGAATGATCACACAGGGGAAAGTCCGTCTATGGCCTGTAGCAACCTGTTTGATACTGGACTTTCCCTGGTATTTTTTAACTCCGCTTCTTTGGCAGAGCGAGACGGGTTGCCGACGGGTGCGGGACACTTGCCAGATGTTCCCGTGTGATCGTGCCCTTAAAATCTGCCCAGCATTCATGCCTATCGTGCGGCTAATTCTGTGTGTGATTGGGACCATAGGTTTGTTAAAATGCAAATAGTACTGTGTCCAGTTTGGGGTACAGCAGTTTGAGACAGATGTGGATAAATTGGCATTGGTTCAGAGGAGGGTCACAAGGAAAAGGTTGAAGGAACTGTATATGCATAGCTTGAAGAACAGAAGATGGAGGGGGAGGGTCTTCAAAGCATTCTCCTCATACCTGGCTGTTGCTTACAAAAAAAACAAAGATTAGTTCTCCACTGCTGCAGAGGGCAAGACTAGAGTTAATGGGTTCAAGTTAGATCTCAATAAACCTCTGGTAGAAGCTCCCTAACAATAAGCAGTTTGACACTGGAATTAGGCATGTATGGGAGACGTAAGGTGTCCCTTGCTAATAGTCTCCAAGCAAAGACTGAATGGCAAATATTGGGGACTGCCTAGCTTTGGATTTCCTGCATTAATCAGGAAGGCCTCCTTCAACTCCTTGATTCTACAAAATTATATTGGAGGCACTTGAATCTAAAGCTAGCTATGTTACACACTGCTTTCTTAACAGAGTAAAGCTTGAGTTCATAAGGGCCACCACCACAGAAAGAACTGAATATGCCTACTGACATTTTCTGGCTATATGTCCAGGGTAGCTGAAAATCACAAGGGCCTCTTTGTGAGCCTCCTTTGTGGCAACCTTTTTGTGAAATTGTAATGATTCAGGAATTGCCTTGTCAATCAGAACCCAGAGCCCTTCCAGTTTGAGCATAGTGACGGATCCCACAGTAAATCTCCTCTAGCAGAAGACATCTGTCTCTGGGAAACAGGGCTTTCTTGTTTCATCTCTCCCACTGCAGCCTTAAATGGTTTCTGAAATGGTGCTCCTGCAGACAGCCCCCCCCCCCGGGAAAAAGCATGAAGCGGCTTTGGAGGTCTAGAGCAGAAAGAGGGAATCAGCAAAAATTGTCTTCCTTCTGTTAGCACAAATTCTCCACAGGATCCAAGGCTTTGCCTCCAACAGCAATCAACCAGGTGTCCCTGGGAAGCTCATACAACAGGTCTGAATGGAGATATCCATTCCTTATTAATTGTGCCCCATATCTGGTGATCAAAAAGCCGAACAGATTATATTTACGTAGAACTTCAAATTTTCTAAAGATGGGATATTTCTCCCGATTGCGGAGGTTCAAATTGCCCTTAACAAAAGTATTCCTATCTGATTTTAGAAGAAAATGGAAGCTGTTTTATACTGCAGAAGCATCAGCCGTGCTTTATTAGTATTTAATAATTGAAGTGCAAGATCCCTGGCAAGATAAAGTGCAGTGAATAAAAACCAGTAAAATAATAGTGACAACTCTCTCTATATCCTATGCAATGTAAAATGGCCATAAAAGACATAAGAGATAATTGATTGCCACATCATACTCACCATCTAGTGGCATCATGAGCAGGTGCTGAATTAAATTGAAAGCAAATTATAATATACAAAGATTAAATACGAATAATCAAGAGGAGCAAAACTTGAGGAAGAGATAAAGTATAGAAGGATTCTGAATGTAAAGCCTCAGTGCTTAAAATTGACCTTAATCAGTCCCCGTAGGCCTAGAACAAAATGTTTCAAGCCTCCCCAGCCCTAGCAAAGTCCAATTGGCAGTTCTCTGTATTTCTGGCATGATGCTGTGATGCATAGCTAGAAGCATGGGGAAAACTGGTACCATTTTTTCAAGGACACTCTCATGCTAAGTAGCTTCCAACCATGAACTGGTCATGTATCCACCTTTGATGGCCATGTTGACAGGTAGGATGTTGATGTGGAGAGAAACCCTCCCTCTGTCTCAATGCACAGAATTGAATGGCAAAATGAAAACCAGAAGGTGGATTCTGGAATAACTTCTGGTGCTCACACAAGGGCTGTATGAAATGATCCTAAGAAATTATAGGAAAGTTACCTTGGTATGAGATCTGCTTCATAAATGTATGTCAAGATGTCAAGAAAATGTGCTTTCCCACGTGCATACATACACTGCACATAGCCACAGAACTGAATGTCCTTGTGACATGTAAGTATATTGCGTATGTTCTAAAATGGGCCTTGAAATGCAAATGTTGCATTTTTAGTATTAATATGGGCCTACTGAAAATGTTTCTTATGACATGGCCCTCAGTTTCTTGTGTCAATCATTGACATTCTATATCCTTTGGTAAACTTTCTCACAATATTTCCCCTGGAAATGTTATATTGTGGGCTAACTTTTCTCATGAAATGATTTTTTAAAATCCCATTTAATCCTCTCAATGGCAAATGATGCAATAGAAACTGACCTCTTAGCCTTACCTGAAAGAAAAAAAGGACTGAGGATCATGCAGGGATCCTGCTTTAATATTTCTGGGTAGGTGCCCACGTGTTGCCCCCTTGATTGCTAATACTGACAATCCACAGAATGGAAAAGAGCTTCGAGATCTTCTGTACTGAACTGATTAGAAGAGGAGGAGAACTGGCACCTTGGAGGATGGGGCAAATTCACCAGGGGCAGATGATGATCAGGATTCTA